GATGATCACATGTCTCCCAAAGGAGACCACATCAACTTCGATCAGGAGGAATGCTGGTACGGTTGTCGCCCTTATAGCGACATATGTCATATAGCGACGCTATATGACATATGTCGCTTGCTTGCTCCCGGAATTTTAAATGCCGGGTGTGCTAAGGCTATTTCCGTAAGGCAAGCTTGCTCTGATTTTTCCTGCCTTGACTCCAATAGGCTAGCCTTGCTCATCGGAGGGGACTCCAACAGCCACAATGAATCGTCTCGCAATAACTCACGGGGTGCAGGCTGCACCGTGCAGCACACCGTTACGGTGAGGAAAAGAAGAGGCCCTTCGACGATGAGGCCGAGGAGCTGTGGAAGAAGGTCAATTGGGAAGACTTCGTATGATACGAAGGCGGGACGATACCGCCGAGATATGGTTGAGGATACTCAGTAACGCGCCCGTGTGCAAGACGCTGTTAGTACTCCTGCCAAAGGAATTCTCTGGTATGCCCAGTTGAGTTGGCAACTCTCCTCATAGGGATGGCCAGTGATGAGTTTGAAGTGGCGTTTCACTTCATTCTGGAACTTAATGCCAATTTGGACTTGGAGAGATCAGTCTAATTCTCCAACAAAGAAATAGTCTACTTCAACTTGACGAAGTTCTATTGTGATGTACAAATTAATTCTTACTTGGTTTCCTCCTATGTCACAGTTCCCGTCGAGTTCTTGAGTGATACTCCTGTTGCTCCCTGTAAACGGTCTGTTCAGGCAAAGAAGACAAGATTCATGGGTTTCTGAATGTCTTCCTGCCATCGCATAGTCAAACCTGGAACCGGTTGTCCTTGTTGAGTTGCCGGGAACCTCTTCGGGTGAGAATACTTTTAACTCAACGCAGGATGAATGAACAATACCAACATTGATGTTGCAGGGAAGGAGATACGGTATCCCAGATACCAAAAGATAGTTGGGAAAGGAAATTCGTGAGATTGTAGTTAAAGAAGTCGCCTCCATTTCTGACTGAAAGGAGACCCTAAGTCGGGAAAAAAATTAGTAGTAAGTCGGGAACACCAGAATATGAGGAATATTTTGTGTCACAGCAACGTGAGATCATCCCACTGGAATGTCCCAAGGTACTACCTCAAAGGTAGCCTCGAACTTCAAGGCAGTAAGCGACAGATGAATCAAGTCTTCGACTGTACGGCGAATTCTGCACTTGGCCAACTCATTGGCGTTGATTCCTCACACATCGAGTCAATGTATGCGTGGGGAACCTCTAACAGTCTCCAAACTTGACCAGGTGAATGGGTACGCGTAAGTACTGTTCCCTGGAGATCCGATGAAGATATGCTTTTCAATCGCCTAGAATAGGATTTCCCTTCCATATCGATTGTTTATTGCCGTCTTCATCATATCACGAACCGTCCCACATCAATCATTAATTTGATCAGAAGAACTTCTTCTTGTCAGGGAACTGCTTGAGTTTGATGGCCAAACTGCCCTCCTGGAGAACTTTCTTATCACAGTGACAGGGGAGGCGAGATCAATCAGCCCTGTCAGCAGTTCAGAAGGAGCAAATTGTGATATAGCTCAGTCCGTAGCTTAGGGCCATGCCATTGAACCGTACATACTAACTCAACTCTTTATCCAGGGTGTACTAATCCACATTCTACCAACAAACCTGAGAGTTAATACGGAGGAGGAACAGTCAATTCTTCAACAATCACCTTCACAACTAATCGATTCAAATCGCCCTCTTACGACTAACCATATACATTTCTCATAGGTTTCACCATGAGCGCCCAAGGCCGATATCTTCCACCGAACCGAAGGCCTCGATCACCACGCGGATGAAGGTAAACCATACAGCCAGGTTCCAACGGTACGAAAGTCGAGCCTTGGAAGGGATGGGCCTCGAGATCGTCTGGTAAATACTCTGACTCGGAAGCTTTGGCATCTCCTCTAAGGATTTCCTCTGAGAAAAAGGACCATGTGTGTGACTAACATACGCGTCAGTAATATATGTTTTCCATTTCCAAGTGTTTTACTTGGAGACGAACACCTCTCACTAATATTCTCTCCTAAGAACAAAACATTCCTTTCAAGTGACCCAGGATCTTCACCCTCGAAAACGTGTTCGGGGACTTCGAGACCTCACATCCCACTCCCGAAAGAAATCCCGGAACGAAAAGTCATTGTTCGTTCAGGAACTTACTGTTCAAAATAGTATCAACGACGGAATTCTCGAGAATATACAACAACAATTTCACTCTGAACCTATCGGCACTATGTTGATCATTGATGAACGCTGTAAGCCTCCATACTAACTTGAGGGAATAGCTGCCGAAATCTCTACCCATCGACAGTGTCAGAGGAATATTTGTTCGCTTTGCTCAGCTTGGCTCGAGAGTTCCTTCACTAGAGGTTCACATGCGAATTCCTGTAGTGAATAGAGACCAGCAATGATTCCCCAAACCCTCCTCATAGTTTTCGAATTGTCATCGACACACATAGTTGACCATGTGCATTTTTTCTTACACTGTCCCATTTTAGAAGCAGTGAAGTAAAATTATAAATCGCCAATGTAACATCACTGATCCTTCCTCACCCCAAGTCGCATCATCCTCTTTTATTGGCATCAACCGCAACCACGTGGTTGTGGGGTCCGAATAAATCGATCCCTCTAAAACCTCAACCATTGGCGCTCGATACGGTTCATGTCCCCGACAGGCTCCCCCTGGAAACGGTGACGACATAAATAATATAACGAAGAAACATGACAGAATTTTCACGAGTTGATGCCAGCATTAGGATATATGTCTGGGTTCCTTAGCTGAGCTCTGAAGTTTCCTCACAAATTAGAGGTTCACATACGAATTCGGACTTTCGGACTTTCATTCGGAGGTTTCACCAACACATGTAGTTGATCATGTGCATATAAACACTTATATGCACTTCTATCTCGCCGAAATTCCTCGCAGTGAATTCATCACACAACAGAGTAAACAACGACTGAAACCTAAGTGGGAGTAACTTTTTGCGATGCGGCAACTTTTGCTGAAACGGTTATTCGATTTCAATCGTCTTTCATAAGCTCGCCAGGTCGCCTCGGTCAATATTGACTCATACGGCTAGGGCTACTGAATGGTCATTACCACACGCGATCGCCTGAATGAAGACACGAACAACTCAGAATTATATCATTATTATTTCGCCAAACCGATCGTAATACTCAAAGTGACGTTGTTACGCAAGTTAAAACATCGCGGTCTGATATAACGTCGCGAGCCGCGACAATTCCGGATGTAAATCCGGAATACAACTTTCCATGAACCAATCCGTAGTAAAGCTATCAACATGAGATGGAAATCACCTGGAGTGATCAAATACGGCATAAAACGAGAGAGAAGGATCCGAATTCCTCATCTATATTCATCTCAGTGATTTCAGCAACCCTACTGCTATACACACCCAGTCTTCTTACTGTCACTTTAAGTTTATTAGCTCCAAAGTATTCCACCACAACAGGAACAGGGCGATACGCAGCGATCGACTCAATATTGTCTCCTCTGCCCAATTGACCATCTCTTCCTCTTCCGAAAACATATCTGAGATTATATCTAAAATTCTTCACCGTAAGAAAAATAAAACTGCACATGATCAACTACATGTGTACGACGATTTCAATGTCGCGCGCCACAAAATTAAGTTTACCAATGAAAATACCCTCGAAATTTATTATATTTTTCATATTTCTGTACAGTGTGGATAAATATATACATGGGCGACTACATGTGAAGGTGATGATATAAAAATATAAATTCTTGCTGATTTCTAAACGCTTCTGTGAACTCCTGAGCTCAGCTGAGGAAAGCGCCCACATATTCCTCCAACACACTTGCTGTGATTTCGAAACATATACCGATACCGAGCATACGAGCTGGTCCTTACAAAACTCCTTTATCGTCGAGTGCCATAGTATGTCCACCACCCGCGGCAACATCGACGATCCTCTTTCCCTTCAATGCTTCCACCAACTTCGGCACGCCAACATCTGCCTTGTCCCCGTGTCCGAGATTGCCATCACGACCGTATCTATATCAACGATTAACAAACTCATTCTCTAACTGAAATTATAAACTATTATTAATCATAAACTTATATAAACTATCATTCAGTTCCCAGCCTCGGTAACGTGAACGGTTTCATATTACAGAACGTCAATCATATCAATTATAACACAACAGGTACTAACACGCATACCCCCGACATTCTTACCCCCAAGTGTAGAGCTCTCCCGCATCAGTAACTGCCGCAATATACGACCCTCCACACGCCGCTCTCACAATCCTTCTCTCATCCAATGGACCCCGAACTCGCAGGGCTGTAGACGAACGTAAACCTGAACGCATGTCAGTTTCAAAAAGTTACTATTTCTTATCACAACACATATTGACATTATATAATTTGTTCGCAGTTATACAGTTCTTACAATGTTCGCTACATTAACCGCTACAAGACTATGTCCGACTCAGTGTGAATGTCGGTTCATCAGATTGGGATGGCTTCCACCACCACACATGTTCAAAGAAATAATCATAAAATAATTAATTTCGGTCCATCGAAATGAACTAATAGCGCGAGAAAGGTGTTCATGACTAAGACAAATGCAGAGCCACTGCGACACGAGCCCAATAGATCAGCACATGTGGGCGTGGAAGGGATAGTCCTAAACCAAACTTAACGAGATTTTCTCCATATCTATGCGGCTTACACGCAAATCGAAAGGCTTGAAAAATATAAACTTCATACTGGTCATCAAGCCGATCCAATCACGTCGAATTTTAAATTTATACGTACGTCAAAAACACATTTCACTTTGCGAAAAAAAGCATATACATGTGATGTGCTCTTCACGTGGAGTATTACGCCACTTCGCGTAAAACGAGTGAAGCTCCATTATAATTTCTCAAAACTTTTAACATCTATAATACCCCCTATTCCGATACCCCACATCCCTACATCCATCCCCTACGCCCAACTGCCCATATTGATTCGATCCGAACGTATACAGCGCTCCATCAGAGGTTACTACTGCTGTAAAGTCTTGACCACACGATACCGATACCGCCT